CATCCCAAAAGCGCCACGAGCCCCGAGCCGGGCAGGGAGCTCCCGGTGAGCGCAGTCCGCTGCCCCTTCCGCCCTCCTCAGGCACCCCCAGCTGCGGCTCAACTAACTAAGTTGCCGAGAAGCCATTTTCGACCTGCCACCTTCCCCAAGCAAGGAAAATGCTGCCAGAACCCGCTCTGATCCCTGCTCCATTCATTCTCTTCCAGGCTCGGCTGGTTCCAGCTAAACATGCCAGCATCGCTGAGTGCCGCGTGGCAGGCACTGCCCCGGTAGCGCCTGGCAGTGCTCAGCCATGAATTCCTCCCTCCCCTCGGTCTCCTACAGCCTGGGGCAGCTCTGGCAAGAGGACAACCAGACCCACAGCGGGCTCTGGAATGGGAGCCAGGAGCTGGGCTGGGAAGAGTTGGAGAAGATGCTCTTCCTCTTTGTGAAGGAGCCCATTACCATCAGCCTCACAGCAATGTACCTGGTGTCCTTCGTGGTGGGCTTTGTGGGCAATATCATGTCCATAAGGGTGCTCACACGGAAGCGCCGGAGTCGGATGTCCAGCCTGAGTGCCACCCGCAGCCTTTTGATCAACCTGGCAGTGTGTGACCTCATGGTGGTGTGTGTCTGCATGCCTATCACCGTGGGCAACCTCATCTACAAAGCCTGGGTCTACGGGGACTTCCTGTGCCGGGCCGTTCCCTTCATCCAAGCTGTCTCAGTCTCCGCCAGCGTCCTCAGCTTGACCGTCATCAGTGTGAACCGTTATTACAGCGTGCACAACCCACTCAACGCCCGATCTTTCTTTACCCAGCGGAGGATCCTCAGTACCATCCTGGTTGTGTGGCTGCTGTCCTCTGGGATATGCATGCCCCTCATTTTCATGAACAAAAGGGATGAGATTGGGTTAGTGGAGGGTTTGCCCCTGGTGTTCCCCATTTGCAGAGAAATTTGGCCTCAGGAGAGGCTCAAGCAAGCTTACAACTTTCTGCTCTTCTGTGCTCTCTACTGCTTGCCTGTCCTCTTCAACATGGTCATCTGCTTCCTCACGGTGCGCCGGCTCTGGAGCCGCAGCAGCCGCCTGAAGGAGGGCACCGTCCTGCACCGCGCTCTGCCAGCCTCCAGGCTGAAGATCCGGAGGAAGGTGGCCCAGATGGTGGTGGCCCTGGTTCTGCTCTTTGCAGTCTCCTGGCTGCCCGTCTACCTGATGGACATCTGGATCGACTTCAACATCCCCAAGTCTTTGCAGGATGTGTCTCCTTCTCCCTGGATCTTGCAGCTCAGACCTTTTGCCCAGTGGCTTGGCCTCACCAATTCCAGCCTCAACCCTATATGTTACTGCTTTGTTGGGAATCTCTACAGGTCAGCCAAGGAAATGAGGAGCAAATACCATCAAAGGATGGTCTCTCTCTTTAACTTCTCCCTGTCTGAAGGGACATCCCATTCCTCAGTCCCAGAGCTGCTCTCTTACCGGAGTTCCACAGAGCCTGCAGAGAAAGGACCCTCCAGCACCGCTGCAATGAGATTTCTGGGAAAATGTGACAATAAGAACAAGTGTGGAAGCTTGAATTCCTGCCAGCATCCACCTCCAAGCACTGTCTCTAGTGAAAACACTTCCTTATAATTCTGTTCAGAAAGGTATCTGATACCATCATCTGCATTTCATGACTTTTTTGACATCTTTCTGAACCAGATATTTTAATTATGGAGAAAAACCTCATTTCTAATCACTCCCACGACCAGTTCAAAAACACAGAGACAGGAGGAAAAAAAAGAAAGGAAGGAGGAAAAATACCAAGGAAAAGATGACACATTTTAACTCACATCAAGTTTTAAGACACACGGTTTCTACTGGGGATAACTAGATACAACATATCACCCAACCAACATCCACATAATTAGCCAGATAAATATCCCAAAAACGGTCTCCCCGCAGCAGTTCTATCTCTGGATGCGACAGCAGAGATGCACTTTGGATACAGCAGCGATTTCACTGCTTGCTGCTGCTCACTCTGTGCTGATAAAGTCCAGCTGGAACAGGTACTCGCTGCTGCAAATACATCAGTGGTGGTTGCAAGCAGTAAAGAAACACTAGGAAGAGTATCATAAAAACAAGATTAGCGGAGAGTTTCACAGACTTTACCACTAGAGATTTCATTGTCTGATTGTACTATTCCACTCCCCCATGCAAATAAAGCCTGCTGAAATGAAGAGATGATGCCAGAAGTACTAAAGCAACCATCGTTGCTCCACAGCTGGGAACTCAGAAGGGATAATGTGGCCTTGGAGGTGAGCTGGGAAATGCAATAGGGAAATGTGCTTTGGGCATCGGCTATCCTTCTTGCAGCTGCGTTCTCGGGGATGTAGTGGAAAGAACCAGGTTTCTATTAATGTGGTTTGCACTTGGAAACCAGTTCTTTTTCAGGGGTGACTGTAGCAAAGTTGATGGCATGTGAAAATAAAAAATAGAAAGTGTTTTATAGCTAATAAAATCAGAATCAAATAATGCAATGTTATTTGTCTGGGAAAGGAAGAATTAAAGCGCGTTCTTTTCCTGAGGATCAAAAGTAGGTTAAAACCTGTTTCTTCCATCACCACTTTTAAAAGAGGCTTTGATAAACTGTATATTTTTATTATATTAACATTGAAAGCTTGAGATCCTATTGCACTGGACACTGCATACGTATTCATAATGAAATGAAACTTTCATCCCAAAGATATCGCTGTCAGAACACACCAGACCAGGCAGCAGATGTCAGGAACAAAAAAATAAAGAGAACCAAAAGCTTGGAATGAAATTAAGGATCAGCTCCTACTCTGGGCCTGCCCGGTGCTGAGTGCAATGGGGACACACACTGTCTCTTGCCTCCCGATGCTACTCGTGTCACTGCTCCTTCTGCATCAGAGCATGGCACAGCAGGGTTTTCCTCTTGCTAAGCAGCAGGATGAAAGCAGCAGTCTTCCTGGCAAAGGATTTTCCATTTAATGGAAGTCAGACTTTTGAAGATGGGGGGGGTGTGCATTTTTATTAGCGAACAACAGAATATGTTCTGGGAAGTTTAAGTTTCAAATAATATCCGCCTGACTTCTAGGAAGGCTTTGGTTCACACACAAAATAAAGAGACCAAAAATAGCCATTCAGCCCAGCAGGATTTCCACCTTTTTTTTTTTTAAAAGGATGGTTAAATAACGTTTTATGTTACTAATGACCTGCCCAGAAAACAAAGGATTCCTTCTTAACAGGCAGTGCCATCTGCAATCTGTATTCCCTTTTTTTGTTGAACAAGAAAGAAATTACAATTAACCAGACTTACTTCGGGTGAGAAATGCCTTTTGTGCTCTGGGACTTGAGAACAAGGACATCTGCATTTCTGCAGGTGATACGTGGTAAGGAGCGTACCTACTGCTCAGGCTTTTAGTACCCTGCAGAGAAAAGCACGAGAAGATTTTATTTGCTCTTTCAAGGCACATTTTTAGGTCTGGAAAAATGTGCTGGGCTGAGGAGCTTTAAAAGCTTGTTCCAAATGCCCACTGACTCCGGGTCCTGGAAACAGATATCCTCCACCCACAGACCAGACGCAACACAACACGGAAACTTCCCTACGTTGCTCTGACCACCGCATCTCAGCCTGCCTCGAATTAGCAACGCGCAGGCAACAAAAGGGATGCAGGAAGGGCAGCCCAGCTCTGAAAACATCCAGGACCAAATGATGCAAGAAACCCACATTTACGACATTTCCCAGAAGAGACATTTTTTTCCTTAGCTCACATGAGCTGTTGCTTGGGTCATACCCAAGTCTCTACATCCTCTATGGAGAGAGGAAAAGCAAAGGGACTGTAGGTTCTCCTGACCGCGGCTGTGTCTTTCCTTCCTGATATCAATATCCTCATTTTTCTCCAGCCCTACCATGTTCTCGACCTTCAAAATTGCGCCAAGTGCCACTTTTACTGGGCAAAGTCATTTCTTTTCCACTTTTACCTGTATTGCTTTTCAGTTTCATTTGGTGTTCCTGTTCTCCTATAATAAAGTTGAATTGCTCGGTTTAACTCCTCTGTCTCCTCAGCCACTTCCTCCTCCCATGACGCTTCAACTGCCTCTTTAGTATTTCTGTAGAGAAACCTCTTTGTGCCTCTTATCATTACTATTTGTCTGTGAATTCCCCTCGTTCTAACTGCTCATTCATGTCTTCACTTCTCTCCTCTTGCCCTGCTGATTTGAATGGCTTCTTTTGTGCCAGAGACACCTGTTTGCTATGGAGAGCACTGATTTATTTTGCACAGTTTACCCAACAGCTGCCAGGTTGTAATGAATTTCGGGCGCTATCACCCAAGGGTAAATTAGAAGCGGTGACGTCAATACAAAAACTACCGTGTCCCGTGAGCCACCCGGTCTGTGGTGGTGATTTTTATTAACCTGAGCAGGTCTCTGTAACTCGGCGCTGCCTGCGTGACTCATGTGTGCTCAGGCTGAGGCGACACCTCTGCACTCTGCAAAACGGCTTTTCCCCACCTCTTCTGATAAGGCATCTCATTATATTTATGCCTCGTTAGATGCCCTGGAGTCCTCCAGGTTGCACAAGCTGCTTGTTGCAGATGTCAGACACTTTGGCAGGGATGCCTGGGACTGCAATACTTTTGTTTTGCAGAAAGAACAGGGAGCAGATGCTGCTCTGGGGGGTGAGTGCAGGTGATGTCCTCAGAGTTGCTGAAGCCAAAAGTGTCACTCGTGATGCGTGGTTCAGGAAGTGTGTTTCTGTGCAAATGCACCCAGACAGACTGGAAAAGTGGTTTTTCTGATGTACTGAGATCTCTTCCTAGGGGAGTCCTATGTGATTCCAAAGAAATGCCAAAATCTCTATGCATTCTTGGCACAATGTGGCCTGTCTGTGGCTACTAAATCTTTAACAGGAAAATGAACACGCAGTAAACAAATATCACAGGTCTGCAACCTGTGTTCCTTAATGCCCTCAGCTGCCCTGGCTGGCTTTCCCCCTCCCCAAACAGAAAGAGCCAAGAAGCACTATGGTTTTGCTAGTCCCAAAGTGCAGATGCCCTGATGAACTGAAACATTTCTGCCTTGAGCCATAATGACTTTTTGCCAAAGCACAAATCTGAGGTTCGTGGCCGAGAACAAGCCTAGCACCTGCAACTGAGCAATGCTCTGTGTCTCTTCAGGGCCCAGAAACTGCTCACAAACCTGCATGGCACTGACAGGGCAACCCCAGATGTACATCTGCACCTGCATGTGAGGATTGAATGTTTAGGGCAGATGCTTACGTTTATTTGGAATGAATTTAATGTCGCCTTACATCACCCAGCTATGTCTCAGAACACAAAACTACTAAAAAGGGCTTTGTGAAAAGGAAGGTTTAATGAACTATCCTAGACCAGAATCACCATTTCCACAAGCAGCAGGAGATGGAACATGCCTTGAGGAGACCTTTTCCCCCCGCCCCGCCACTGCCTGGAATCAAAACTGCTACTCAGTCCCAATCCTATCCTGATAGATCTGTCTTCTCTCTATTTTGACATTTGAACCAGCACATGCAAACACATTACAGGAAGAGCATGTCTAAAACAACTTCACTTGAATCCCTTTGCCGCTCTAAGGACTTGGAGCTGCTGCTTAGTAACTCTCCCTGGGAATATCCCATGGCCTGATCTAGTACTATGAGCATGCCTCAAAGCAGCTATGGATTTATTTTCTGCCTGTGAATCACTGGAGAGGCAAAAAGAGATGCTCTTTCATACAAGCTATCAGAGCAGCATCTATAATCATGACTGGTACATAGCGCTCTTATGGAGAATGATGATTCACTGTTTCTTATAATCAAGCACTCAAGGAAGCCAAAAAAAACCTGATTAGACTGTGTGTGTGTGTGGGCAAGGAAGCACCACGTCTCACACTGCGCTGCAGCTGGAGCTCACTGGTGCTGAAAAAAGGGCTCAAAGAGATATCAGATCGGTCATGACAGAAAGAGTCATCAAGGGCTATGAAAAACAATGAGGCCACCCTGGGCTTAAGGGGTTCTGGGTTCTTAGCCTCTAACTTCCACTCTTCCTCCTTCCCCAGGCACATGTTTCTGGCCACCATCTGAAGCAGGATGCTGGGCTGAACCTCATTAGCCAAAGTACTGGTACAAAGTGCTGGGAGGAGAGGATTTCAGGCCTGGTATAATCTGATCAGCAGTTAAACATAACAGGACCCAATTGTCTGGACGCAGGACATGTTAATGCTGATCTAGCAACAGAGATGCTCACTCAGGCCTTTGTGGGGCAGATGCCTCAGGAATCCCAGCTGATAGCACACACTGCCTGTTCTAGTGCAACAAAAGAGCCAAAAAAGGAGCAAAAACAAACCAAATCCAGCAGATCTTACCTTCTTTCAGCATTTAGCACTCTCAGAAGATCAGTATCTTCACTGTGATAGTCCCACTCATCGCAGAAAGAAGAATCTTCTCCAGAGAGCGTAGATGCTGGGACTTTGAATAGGATAGCAGACGACAGGCAAGTTATTTGCATCACCAACAGCACTGCTCCTGGGCTCTTCCCTCATTTCATTCATATACACAAACACTCAGAATGTCCTAACGTGAAATAATTAAATCACTGGGGAAAACAAAA